AATTAATCCTATTCATTAATATTACTTTCATTCTAAACATCTTCTCAGTTCATTTCAATTTATTTCAGACGTATTTCTTAAGCATTAACGTTTCTTTTAAGCGTAGCCTTTTCCAAAGTACTCTTTTCTGATTTAAATAGTTCCCATATCTTCATACTTATTCCCTTTTAATTCTTTTATCTTGTCAAATTTGCAATTCCATCGCATATTCTTTTCATAAAGTCTAAATTAATACTAGCTTTTTCACAAAAAACAAAACAGAAATTTCCCCTCCCCTTTTACTAGTTTGGGATTGTCACCTCAGTGGTTTAAATATGCCTTAATTCCCTCATCTGTAATTCCCAATTAAACATCTATTTTACTTAGCTATAGTAATAATCATTCCCTAGAAAAATAAACTACTTTACATTGTACTTTTCAGTCAGATTCCCCAATGTATTTTCTCCCTTCCATAAAAAAAATAGAAGAGAAAGAAGCAATTAATCCATTTTGCTATTCCTGGTCACTTTAATCTCATTTTAAAACCTTTTTAAACCTCCTCATGATTCATTTCAATTATTTCAATATATATAATAAACATTAACCTTTCTTGTAACAATAAAAATAAGAATATACATTCATCTTCTAAAAAGATATGAGTGCCCCTCCCTCCTCTCAATAGACTAAATTTTATAATTTATAATTGCAAAGTACATTATTATTACCCTTCATATCAATGCGGAATCCCCTTTCTTAATTTATTAACCATTATCTCTATGTATTCTAGGTAAAGAAAATTTTTCCTTTATTTTACAATTCCCATATTTATTTATTTATTGTTCCTGCTCCTCATTACCTCTCTTCCCTTTTATTTTTCCAAATCTTTTCTCCCTCTGATTTATATTCCTCTCTCTATATATATTTTCCTACCCCCTTTTACTTTTCTGCTGTTTCTTTCTATCTTTCTGATTTTTACAAGTATTCCCCATTTTAGTTACTTTTTTGAATCTCTCATTTTTAACCCTCCTTTTTCCTCTTCTTTGTGGTGTTCTTTGTGTTGATTGTCTATTTAAGATGGCTTCTTGAACTAACTCCTTCTCTGAGGTTTCTTCTTCATATTCTTCAATTGCCATTTCCATAGCTTTTAACTCAGAGGCAAGTGATTCACCTCTTGCATGTAGTAGTTCTTTCAATTTTTAAGTTCCATTTTTAGATCCCACAGAGATATCATTGTTGCGCATTCTTATATCTTATAGTCATTAAAATCCACAAATCAGCTTCTCTTCTTCTTTTTTCTTCTTCAAACATTCTAGATTGACAACTATTCCAGAACTGGGTTTATAGCAAAATCACCAATCAGTCCAACAATCCATATTTTTTCTTTTATTTTAATTCAATTTTTGCTTTTTAGGGTATTTGCTATATTGTTTCAATATTTCCTTTTCATTGTATCAAATCAGATTCATAGAGAAATAGGAACTTTCCCTTTTTCAGCTTAAATTTTTGTCTGCCAGTCCTCACATTCCCCCTCCCCCCATTTTATTGTTCAGAGCTTTCCAAGCCCTGGTATTCCAAACCAATCAAATCTTCAATTTAAATATTTTTCCCCCTTCTTTTTGAAAAACTCCTAAGTCCAGCTTTAAATTGTGCCTGTTTGTTGCCAATGTATTTTAATTCAATTTGTTTGAATATCTTGTTCCGGCTTCTTCCTATCCCGGTTCGAAGCCCCGCTCAGCTGTCAAAAATATTTTCACTTTTTTTCCTTTCCCTTTATAAATCTGCCACTTTCTTATTCTTTCATAAAAATTCTTAAAATATCCGTCCTGGGGTACCTTTTAATTAATTGTTGCACCAAGTTGTCCCGATTCTTATGTTGTCCACCCCTTTCTTCTCTCCTGCACAGATCTTAGTCCAGCTAAGTCCTCCTCTTCAGGGTGGCCATTTTAGACCACCGCTCAGTCGTCTTCAGGAGGAAAAATTGCCAAGCCCAGGGAGGGGAGATGCGGCTCCCCTCAACCTGGCTGGTGGCTTCCCCTTACTCTGCCGCCCCTCCAAGGCAGCTTCAGCCCCTAATCACAATGATTGGGGCTCTCTAACGAGAGAGCATGGACCGAAGCTGCGGACAGTCGCAGTCCCTGGTCCGTCAACAAGGAGGGCTTAACCCGGAAGTCCTCAATTTAGGAAAGGATACAGAGGTTTTGAAAGAGGTCAGATGTTTGCCACGTGCTACTGCCAACAGAGACAAAAGGCGTATTTTAACATAATCAAGAATCCCAGTAAGGACTGATGTTGATGGTATTGTACATCTTGGCACAAATGATGTGTCCCAAAAAGAGGTACTCTCTGTGCAGAATGATTTCCAGAGCTTGGGGCAGGAACTTTGTAGAATAGGCTGTAGGCTTGCTTTTTGAGAGGTTTTACCAGTACATAAGGAACAAAAAGGAAAAGCCCAGCATATAGTGGAGCTCAATGTGTAGCTAAAGGAGTGGTGTAAAATGGAAGGTTTTAGTTATATCATGATGTCTGCAGCTGGTCCAATGAAAAACTGTACAAAAGAAATGGTTTGCATCCATCAAAGGAAGGGATTGAGTTACTTGGCATTAAATTCATGGATTTTCTGGAGAAGCATTTAAACTAAACGGGGCCAGAGAAATAATTGATTCAGAACATTTCTATCCCTGGTAATCTAAAATTAATAGGGATATCAGTGCATGCAGGTAATAATGCTTGACAGCATTATCAGTGCAGGTAATAATGCTTGACAGCAACCTTGCTGTCAAGCAAAATCAAGTATTTAATAATGAGTGCCATAACGTGCACTAATCAAACAGATGGTAAGGAAGTATGGGAAGTCAGGCACAACACAGGGACTAGAAGATCTCCAAGGTCCCTTCCAACTCTGTTATTCTATTGTTCTGTTTATCTATTATTCTAACAACTTTAGGGAGAGGGGTTCATTAATTAACATTGTTAGAAGGAAAACAATGATGTAGTGCCTTAAGATATGCAATCCTGATTTTTATGGACTAAGAAATTTTTCTGGGAGAAAAATAATTTGAAAGAGTCAATACAAGGCCATTTTTCCCAATAAGTGACAATCTTCATTTGTTTAAGGTCTTGTTTTGCCCACATGCATTGTGGATACATGGTTCATTACTACGTCCCCTGTTCCATGAGTCCTAATATAAATCCAATCAATTCTATTTCTGGTCGGTTGGTCAGTTGGCATTTGTGATGATCAGTAGGAAGAGGATTCCTGCTGTGGTAAAACACCAGGTAGTTTTTAGTAAAAGCTAACCAAGTCCAATGCTGTTTAATTTTAAGAGCTGCGATGACACAGTGGTTAGAATGCAGTACTGCAGGCTACTTCTGCTGATCACCGGCTGCCAGCAGTTTGGCAGTTTGAGTCTCCCTGGCTCAATGTTGACCTCAGCCTTCCATCCTTCCCAGGTCAGTAAAATGAGGACCCAGATTGTTGGGGGCAATATGCTGACACTGTAAACTGCTTGGAGAGGGCTGTAAAAGCACTGTGAAGCAGTATACAAGTCTAAATGCTATTGCTGTTGCTATTAATTTTCAATAACTTGGAGAACTCTTCCTTGAAATCTATTGAATCAAAAGACAATCATTAGCATTATTGTGGGGAGCCAGGTTTCCATTAACCAGACATGATATTCTTCCGATTAAAATTGGAATTCCGATTTTTTTGGGAATCGCCCCCCCTTTTCCCCCCCTTCTCCTCCTTCCCCTCCCCTCGGAGGCCCTGAGTCAGGAGTTGCTACCGCCAGCGCAGCTCTGCGTGGCTCCAGTCCCGCGTTGCCTCAGGAAGGGAAAGGCAAAAAGGAAGAGCCGCGGCAGCGCTTTGCAACGGCAGCAGCGGCTCCTGGTTTTGCCTTTCCCTTCCCGAGGCAACGCGGTGCGAGCGGTGGACGGGCGGGCGGTGCGAGCGGCGGGCGGGCGGTGCGAGCGGCGGGCGGGCGGTGCGAAAGGGAGCTGGGCAGCGATTTCTTGGCACGCGGTGGGGGGGGGGTCTCTTTTGGCCGGCCTCGATTTTTTTTTCAGAGGGGAATATCATGCCTGATT